ATGCTGGGGGGGGAGGGGATCTCTGTAATACTTTCAACAATAAAGATAAATTTTAAAAAAAACACAAAAAACTTAAGAGACACAGACGATAGTATGGTGACTGCCAGAGGGAAAGGGGGGTGGTGGAGAGAGAAGATGGTATGGGGGGATAAATGGTGATGAAAGGAGATTTCACTTGGGGTGGTGAACACACAGTGCAATATATAGATGATGTGTTGTGGAATTGTACACCTGAAACCTATATAATTTTATAAAACAATATCATCCAATAAATTCAATAAAAAAGGAAAAAAAAAGACTTAAGTCCCTCCATCTATCTCCTCTGAAAACAAATCATGCTAATGATGTATCATAAGTTACCAATAACTTGTCATTCAAGACTAAGTAAAAGCTTAATAAAATTTCTAAAAATCATTATTGGATTATGACCTTTATTTAGGTTTCAATATATTCTATTGAATTTTGGGGGTTCACAGCCAAAATGGGTCTAAGAAGTTAATTTTAAGGTTATTAAACAACTCCCTTTAGCAATGTCCTATATTCAGAGAGAAAGTCCTCAGGTATTTTTTCCTTTTTGACTTAACTACTGCTGTTTAAATTCTGTTAAGAGAGTTTCTTTTACAGATACAGCATCAAGAATCTCACAGATTTCCTTAGCAATATCTCACACCAGGATTTCTGTCTTTTTTCGTGGCCAGAGAGACATTCCGTTGGCGTGTTACCTTGTTTTTACACACTTCTAGAAAAGCCTATCTGGTCCCTCCAACCCCCTGTGCATTTCTGTTCTAGGAAGACAGCAGAGGTGCGGGTTCTCTTCATTCCTGCGGGTGGGAATCACACCTGAATGTCTCACTTTTGCCATTGTCCCACTAGACCCTGATGTGAGATGCTGCCTAACAGGAGGCCCTTTCAAATACAGTTTCCTAGATGGCTCTTTGTGCCTTTTCCATTTTAATCTCTAACCGACGAGAAAGCACTTTAAGAGCCACAGGAAAATGTACCCATTTGGTTGTTTAGAATGAAAACAAAACAACATTCTTCTGTCTCCTCCCTGGGGAAAATTGGGAGCCTCAATGTTGCTATTCTCACACCAAATGATCTGACAACATTTAAAAATACATTTGCAGTATAGGGTTAACATAAGAAGAAAAAGAAAGGAATCCAGCCTTTCGAACAGTTTCTCATTTCATTACAAAATCAACCAAAAAAAAAAAAAAAAAATAGGGCT